TGGCATGAGCTCATGGGAGCCACCACACTGCCTACGTGATGAGTCGCCCCACCATGCGCCCCATCCTGCAAGCTGACCCAGAACCATACACGGGAGAAAGAGAGTCAGGTGCAAGATATCCCTCCCCCGGCCTCACTGCATTGACAGCATGAGCCAGAGCGCAGCTGCAACTCCAGGTCGCGAAACCCTCAGATCTTCGAGCTGGAATCACAGGGCCGTCACCCATGGCCCTGCCCATCACCCCTGGCAAAAAGTTTAGGGTGCCCTGGCCAGAAAACTGGCTAATGGCAAGCCCCATCAGCCTTCAGTCTTGTCAGTATGGGAATGCTGTCCGCAGAGACAGCTGGCCCTCCATCCACTGGGTGGGCTTTCAGGTGCGTCCCCCCCCCGCCCGACTTCAACAGCACCCGATATGCAGGGCGGCTTTTTCGCCCGGCATAGCATCGCACATGGGCGACCTGTGCCAGCTGAGTCGCGACCATATGACTATGAGGCAAAAACGATAAAGTAACCGGAGATCCCCGGGGTAAACAATTGTCTCAAGACAAGTTTGACACCCGGCTGGGAAGAAATGTACCAGCACCAACACTTCATCAAATCACTGAGATCTTTGCTAGGATCACTTTCAGTATGCGGACGACTTCGCTGGCATGCACCGCCACATGAGCGATCTATGCCAGCAGTTCGACCACATAACTGTGAGGCAAGAGCAAATAGCCCAGAGGCAGGAGCAACTATCCCAAAGGCAGGATGCCTTTGACACCCGGCTGGGAGAAATGTACCAGCACCAACAGGACATGCGCCACGATTGGACGACATTCCAGCAAGAATACCGGGATGAAGTCCAAGAGCATGCGGACTTCCGGTACCACATGTACCAGCATTTCCCTCCCCAGGGATCGGGCCCAGAGGATAGCCCCTAGGGATAGTGCTTACAAAAATAGGGTTGTAATAAAATTTCCCCCATCAATAAAATTTTATTTCATGCACCTTTTTCCCATCTCTTGCAAAAGCCAGCGTAACAAAAAAAAAACAACTTAAACTTAAAAAAGAAAAGGCATACGCTCAAGAAAAAGCTAAAATCCATAACCGCGAGAAAAAGGCAGGATTAAGCCATCACCTCAAAATTTTGACTGCCAAGCAAGAGTCGAACAAAACCAAGACTCATCCGACCAACTAACAAGGATCGGATAATCATCATCAAAAGAACAAAAACAAGGAAATCCCCAGCAACCAACAAAGCTGGATGAAACACAAAGTTCCCGGCATAGCCCGGATGATCATTCAAGAAGCCCAAGAGCATCTACCAACACAGAAAACACTCCCCAGAGAGCAGGCGCATGGGCCACTTGAACAGTAAGCCGCCACCACCACCAGTCCTACGCAGTGGACTGTACCAGCCTGATAGGGGGTTTATACCTATCAACCTGCGCACGCGTTGCGCCTGATCTGCGCTCGAGCCGGATCAGTAAGTCGCACTACCACCCTGATGGGGGGATCATACCCATCCAGTCCCACACAACGGACTGTACCACCCTGATGGGGGGATCATACCCATCCGGTCCCACACAACGGACCGTGCCAGCCTGATGGGGGGTTCATACCCATCCAGTCCCACACAACGGACTGCAACTACCAGCCTGATGGGGGGTTTATACCCATCAACCGAAGGATCGGCTACCGTCAGAAGGAGTATCCTGAGGTTTTACCACGTGTTAACCAAAGGGATCGGCTACGTCAGAAGTAGTATCCTGGAAGTGCACGAACACCGAAGTTTTCCCCAGAAGATCATCCGCCGCAAGACGGAACATCTGAAGGGCAACCGGGCAAGAGGGTCAACTCCTTTACCTTCCTGTCAATCTGTCTGGCACAACAGACCAACAGTTGACTAGTCAGGTAAAGGGGGGGCAGCTGTAGACCCCAAATCTTGCCCGGCCTCCAAATAAAGACCAGAAGACCTCCTTTTCGAAGATGGATGAAGCCTAAAAAGCCACTAGGAGAGACTATTAGGCCCCCATACTAGGATAGGAAGGATTTTCTGCACAAAAAATAAGTTTTCTCGCCTCTTTGGGACGAGACCGCTGTCTCGAAATCGAGACTGCCGTCTCGCCTCAGGCAAGTGGCGAGACCGCCATCTCGTTTGATGAGACGGCGGTCTCGCCACCTGTGAATGGCGAGACGGCGGTCTCGCTTCCCCAGACGGCGGTCTCGCCACCTACGAATGGCGAGACGGCGGTCTCGCCATCCGCGCACGACGAGACGGCAGTCTCGTTGGGCGAGACGACGGTCTCGACCCTGTCAGACGAGAACGGCGGTCTCGCGACTGACAGGCGCGAAAACCTATAAATAGGGGTCCTCCCCCCCTCATTTCCACACACCACAAGCTTCTAGCTCTGCCTTCTCTCTAAAAACTTCTCTCTAGAATCCCTCCGACGCATTTCCGGAGTTTCTGAGTGTATTTGAGAGCGTTTTCGGCGTTTAGAAGAGTTTCAGACGTCTTGTAGAGTGAAGGGCTGCCAAAAAGCACCCATTTAAGCTTGCTTCGGAGGTTTAATTTCTCCCCCTCTACTTTTACTGCTTTAATTTAAATTATGCAATAGATTAGGGCCATGTAGTCATCACTTTAAATTTCGCACAATAAAAAAAGGGCAAAAGCATATTTTCAGGTTTATTTATTAACAATAAAAGTTGGCCTATCATAGGGAACCCGAAAGGGGCATAGTAAAGGGACTAATACTTCCTTTACCACGTAACTAACTCCCTTACCCAACTCTGGTTCTAATGACCAAAGTTGGTTTTCGAAAACCAACGCCTTTTACACCCCTTTTTCGATGTTTCCGGTAAAAACATCGGTGGTGACTCCATAGAACCCAAAATAAATAAGTCCTTGGGTTAGCCCGGTTATCGGACAACCCAAGGACACCTTTCGAAAACCTCGCCCCTAGGTTAGCCCGGTTATCGGACAACCTAAAGGCGTTGTAACCACACATAAAAAACGCGAAAAACAAAAGGGTCAAAAAAACCATCGCGTCGCTCTGACCGACCTTCTCTTTCGAGACGGTGGCGACAGGCACCCACAAGAACAAGGTTCATATCCAAATAAATGTAAATCAAATAAAATATTCAAATAACTAACAATCAAATAAAATATTTAAATAACTAAAAATCAAATAAAATAACCAAATAACAAGCAAACCAAATAAAATATTAAATAACTGAAAATGAAATAAAATATTTAAATAAAAAAAACAAAAAAAAATGAAAAACAGAAACAGAAAATAAAAATTGAAAACCTAGACAAAAGTCTTGGTCCCCGAAGCGGCGCCAAATTTGATCGATGTTGTACTCGGTCAAATAATTAAAACAGATAAATGTAGTACTAGGAAGCTTTCCTAGGTCGTCTCCCAAAGACCACGAATTTCTAGCAAAGCTTATCAATTTTTAAAATTAGAACAATAACAAAAAAAAGGGAGTTTTTCAAAATTAAAATATTAGATGAAACAGAACAAAAGCAGATTATAAAAATGCGGATTAAAAACAGATTAAAATGCAATTGATTTCCTGATTCTAATGCAATGTCACTTATCCTAGATTACGAAATTAATTCAAAATTAACCAACTAAGCGAAGATAAATCCCAAATTATATTTTAATTCGAAATTAATCAACTAACCGAAGATTAATCTCAAATTAGCTTTAACCCTTGTTCCAATTCGAAATTAACCAACTAAACGAAGATTAATCCCAAATTTTCCTTAACCCTTATTCCAACATGAAATTAACCAACTAAGCGAAGATTAACCCCAAATTATCCTTATACAATTAAGCATTGCATACATCACATAATCTCATCTCTAACACAGAATTAAGCAAACTGTGATATTAGTTTCGGTTTATTAAGCATAAATAGATTATAATTCAACACTGAGAATAGAAGATGAAAGTGAAGAGAATAAACGAAATGAAATTGAATAACAAAACCTCAAAGATCTACTTGCATTCTTCTCAGAAAATCAATACAAAGATTTAGCTATCCATGGAAAGTTGAAAATTCAATAGAAGAAACATAATTAAAATCGAAACAAGAATTTAAAAATAATGACAGAAGAGTAAACAAACTTGAATATAAATTGCAGAAGATGAAAGGCGGCTGTGTGGTGGTTTCATGGCAGCAGAAAACGAAATTGAACCAAATTTTTAATGAGCCTTGAGCACTCCTAATTAAAATGCAGAGAAAACCAGCATGAAAACAAACGCGAAACAGAACTACAGTGGCTACCTGCCTCCTCCTCCTATTGCTCCTCTAAAAATACCAGCCTACCCTAACCCTAGAGTCCCCTAGGAATGGGCCCAAGCTGGCCCACACGGGATTACACATCAAACAAACCCTAGCTGACGTGGCAATCATTAATATGATATGGAAATAGCAGCTGACATGGCAGGTGACGTGGCAGTTGACATGGCAATGATGTGGAAACTCTCTTCATCTCAATATTAATGTCCATACTTCAAAATTGTTTCACCAAAAATACCTAAAAATAATTAGAAATGAAAAATTAGACCAATTAATGCTAAATTAAGCAAAATTTGGAATAATGGCCCAATGAAGCCCAATCAATGAAAATGCACTAATAATAGACAATTAAACACAATGCACCAATTAAGATAAGTACATAAAGATAAGAAAATGCGGGAAAATAATGGCTCATCACCCGCTATACACCATTCGAAAAAACCTGTTGTGCATTGGTGTGGGTAACTCAACGTCTCCGATAATACATGGCTCGACACACAACATGGTTGGTCTCCAAAATGGACC